CGAGTTCTCGATCAGTAACAATGTAACGTTACTACTGTTTGAGATGCTGAGCCTCATTTCTTTTGTAAGCCATAAAATTCTGGTATGTCATGTGCTAAGTTGATCTTAATATTCATTTCTTCATCGATTGAGTCCTTCCTTGTTTCGACATCATTATTTTAGAAACTTGAAATATATCTGCGAAACAATTGAGACAACGATTTGGTAGGGCGCTCAACTATGTGAATATAACCAAATGACGACGCTTCGCTACATTTGTTGATGTAGCTTTCCTTATTCACTACTACAATGACAGTTATTTTATCTGTTTCAAGAATGACGACTGAACCGTTGTTCCTGAGTTTTTTTGAAACTTTTTTTACTGAGCGTTTGATTGCTCCCAAATCCGATTGTTTTCTTGATGCATGGTTAGGAAACTCATAACAGAGAAGGAAGCAGAGATGGACAAGTTTTACTAAGATCGATGTGTTTCTTTGCCAGCAGGTGGTGAATTCATCAGGTTCGAATAATGAAAGGTAGCGAAACGCGTTCACCGTTAGCCAACTTCTCCACCTCTGTTCTGCTTTTCGGCTTCCTCACAATGCATCTCCAAAACGAACCGTCTTTCATCGATGGTCTACTTCTTTTTCCTAACATGTTTCCTTTAACAGGGATCTGCTAGTCTTTGGACGATGGTCCAAGGCCAAAAACCTTTTCGAGGAAAGTATGATAGGTGCATTGTGCTGGTTTTGCTTTCTTTACGAACCTTTCCGCTTCCGTCAGGCGTTGCAACACGTTTCCTTGTTTATCAGCAGCTTTAGGTCGAAAACTGAAACTTTTTGAGGAGATGTGACAAGATTGAGGTTTCTCTTAGCAATTTATTTTTACTTGCAGTTAATACGGGACCAAATAAATGCAATATACTGAGATAAGAAACTTTTTAACCGGAAGGTAGCGGAATCCGTGGTTATCCAGTCGAATTAATGACGAATAAAGATGTTAGTACCGAAATAAGTTTGTCCTGGGACAAATTATGAAACAGCTTCGCTATCGAAGCTAAAATCTCCAAAGTGAAGATTCTACCTGACTGAAACGATTTACACTGTAAAATTCCATTTAATATTATGACTCTCCTTGAAGACAGAACGTGTATGGTCCGAAGCGTTGAGGAATAGGAATATAATGAATTCGATATGCAATATCACCCAGTAAAGGTTTTTTGGAATTTGGCATTATTTACGGCGTAATGTATCGCGCTTAATGTGACATAGTCAATTAACATACTACAGATATTTCTTGCTATTGCTGTTTGTCAATTAAGAGTACGTTCACTTCGAAAAAATACAAACAGACTCTTAGAGTGATGATAAAGAAAATAAAAATCCGGATTGATGCCTTGGAAAATATATTTATTATGTTAATGTTTTCGTAGCTCACAACTGTGTTCTTTCTGTAGCATAAATTAATTGCATTGAATATGTATATTATTTACTCGATGTACGATATCGTCGAGCTAAGGATTCTGTGACTTTTCTACTGAACTTCCTCATAAAAGGCTCAATTGCTGTTTTAAAAATAATAATGCGTAATTAATAGAATAAAATGATTTATGCCGTTCTGAGGATAACTCATTGATTAAGCGATGAATGACGACTTAAGTAACCATTCATATTGGGACGTGATTGGCGGAACAACTAAAGAGGCAGAAGTTGATTGATCGACGGAAAGGGAAGCAGTGATAGAGAAGGCGGCAGTTCGCCGTTACACTTTCGTAAAGTGTATCGGTTCAAATCCGGGACCGGCGTAAACTTTTTTTTGAATTATTCGAGCAAAAGGGTTACCTCACTGCGATTTGGTAAAAGCAGCCGAGAAACAGATGGACGCAAGTCGATGACCTATCAACAACAGGGACAGCGTGATGTTCTACTGTGATTACGTCGAAGAATGAGGCTTTTGTGCACCGCATCACGTTTACTGTTATACTTGGCTGACTCCACAGCCAACAAAGCCAACACCTCATGTTACCGATGAATTAATGAGAAACGTTTGCTCGATATATGCATCAAGTTCTCTCGCTGTTCGACAAACCTCTTAGAAGGTCAGTTTTTAATCCTTTGGGAAAAACATGAACTCGTTGGTTTGTTCTTCCAAAGACGGAAGTAAAATGATTGCTTGAAAGATGTTCGAAGATCTTTCCTTATGAGGAGAGGCTACTCTCTGTGCCTGATATACAGAGCCAGAGCAACAACAGATCTAACGTGAATAAATATAGTTACTCAGTTTACTACCCCTGCGGTGCCATGATCAAACTTCTTTTGAATGGTGAACACTCGGTCCCTTGGAGGGCGATAGTGCCGATGTGGCCTGTCTGCTGCTGCGGAATGAGCCAGCCGTGTTTACCTCGATGTTGGAGGATTTTTTATTAACGGCAAAGCAGTCTTTGCTCTTGCAAACACTGAACTCGTTATATGAGACATCTCATTCGTGGCGGCTGCTCAATTTGCCCACGTAAGCGAGTCATGTCGTCGTAAGCCGCCGAGTCGAGGTCGGTCCTCTTCGCCGGCGAGTGTTCGAAACACGGACCGGCAAACATCAGCGAGACGTTACCGGGATGCTAGCAAAGAGTAACGCTTGTCCATTCGCTCCTGTGGCTTTTTCGCTAAGTTGATCTGAGCAGCTGTTTTCACACATACCTCTTTGCTGAATCTTTCTGCGTAGAGTTAGACAGCAGCTCCATTTCGATGACCTGACGGCTTCACTGCTCATGTTGCTCCGCATGTCGAGTTCGACTTATTCCAACAGTGTTGAAGTAGGAGAGACAAATGATTAGGGTACACGTGAGGTTATGAGGCATTTTGAAATAAGATTGGGCATAGGTCTTTTAGGTTCGGTCGTCTGTTCAAGTGAAACTCGTCGGACAACCGGTAGTTTAAGAAGTTAAATCAACCACCAGTTTGTAAATAATCTCTGTGCTTAAATAATAGTTCAAATCGTCCACAGTTGTACAGATAAGTGCTTGAATGATTCACTGTTATTGCATCAAAGACGTCATATTGTGGAACAGTCTATTGCTAACGCGTTTGGCTACGTTGACTAAGACCGTAAGATGAAGATGATGAGCAAACAGTGCTTAATAGTCAAAATGTTAGTAAGTTGAAAAGCCCGAACTTTAATCAACAAACAACATGAAGTTTCTCGTTAAACGTCGAATCGAAT